TTTTTTTTTTTTTTTTTGTGCTGTGTCCTGCTTGTCCTTTCTCTGTTTGCTTGTCCCATGCCCTGAGCTCTTAGCGTTCCCCCAAAAAATATTTACAGGAAAGGAACAAAAGTGCTTTCTTTCTTCCCCACTGCTGACGCGGCGCTGGCCAAGATGCGTCCTCTCAGCGCAGCAGCTCCCCCCGCGGTTGATCGCGTCCTGGGCGCGCTGCTGGTGCCCACACGGCGCGGGGTGGCTGTCGTGGTCAACACCGCGGGCAGCGGGGGCCCAGCCCAGGGCTGCTGGCCCTGCCTCACGTCCCAAGGTGCCCTTCCCTCTCAGCAGCGAGCTCGCCTGGGGTGCAGGGCGCCTCGCTGCCCAGCCCACGTCCACAGGGCAAGGGGCAGTGACCCAGCAACAACGCAGTGACCCTCGAAGGGCGGGAGTAATCCTGGTGAGACCCTGGGCTCCTGGCCTTGGGGCTGCATGCGGCTCCCAGAAGGATGGGGGCCTCCTTGCAGGGCACGCAGGCCCCGGGCTATTTTTAAAGGTGGTTTTAGATTTACATCACTGATTCTGACCCCCTGGGGACACTTCTCAAAGAGGCGCAGTGTAAACCCGCGCGTCCTGGCCTCGGCCGGGGGGGCTGACCGGGCGCAGCACAGCAGTGGGGTCATTACTGAGGAGAGCAATTTGTTTTTCTGGCAATTTCTTCCTAGTCCCTCGGCGGCAGTTGGGCGTTCCACTGAGAGTGTTTTCCTCCGGCTCCTGCGTAAAAGGCGCGGGAATGATGGGAGGGCCGCCCTGGGTGAGCGCGGGGACAGCGGGTCCCGGGCACAGGACAGAGGTCCTCATGTTGTTCTTCCTTCCGTCCTGGGGGCCGAGCAGGTGTTGGCGCTGCACCTGTCGGTGCCAAGCAACGTGTCGTTAGTCCCGGGGATGCAGAGTTTGGGGGGCCGGGGCCAGGGCCCTGGGAGCAGCAGCCCTCAGTCTGACATGGGCACAGGAAGAGACGGCCCCTGAGCCACGCTCACCATTTCCAAGGTGCAGGGGACGGGGCTGCCCAGGGCTGCGCAAAGCGTCGCGTGACGCTCCCTCCCGGGTCGTGAGGGTGCGAGACGCCGGAAACCAGCCTCCGTGTCACTGTGTGTCATCCCCAGGCACGGGGATAACCGGCTCTCCTTGCACGAGGCCTGAGCAACGTGCTGAATTCACTAAAATTGCTGGGCTTCCCCTGGCAGGTGCGGCTCAGTGGTTAGAGCACCGGCCTGGGCACCAAGGGTTGCAGGTTGGATCCCAGGCCAAGGGCACGTACCTGGGTCCCAGGTTGATCCCCGCCTCCGTCAGGGCACGTGCGGGAGGCAACCACTCAATGAGTCTCTCTCACATCGATGCTTCTCTCTCTCTCCCTCCCTCCTTCCCTTCTATTCTCTCTGGAAATCAATGGAAAAAAAAAAATCTTTGGGTGATAATTAACTTAAAAAAAAGAATAAAACCGCCAGGCTGAGTCCTCCCTCCGTTTCCCCTTCGCTGCAGGCACGGCACGCGCTGCGCAGGGGAAGTCGCCGCCTTGGCCAACAACTCCTACTGCATCGTGGGCATCGCGCACAACGCAAAGATCGGGGGTAAGGCCCGGGGCGCGAGGCCGGGAGCCTCGGGGGGCGGGGGGCCAGGGGCGCCCTGCTCTGCTGGTCTCAGCAGCTCCCCCTTTGCTGGCCTCGGAGGCCGCCTCAGACCCCCGGGCGTGAAGCCTCACGCCTCCTGAGCCTCAGCCAGGCAGGCCCCGCACACCCGGGGCCGGAGGCAGAGGCATTGCTGACCTTTTTGCCTGAAAAGCTATCACGGGTTTCATAGAGAGTTACCTTCTTTTATACTCTGGTCCTGCGAGCCTGGCCGCTGAGTCACCACCGTCACCCAGACTCGCCCTAAAAGGCACGTGCTCTGCCTCCTCCGCCCGGTCCTGCCCTGGCCCCCAGTTACTTCCCAGCGGGGCCTCTGGTCTGCCTGGGATCGAGGCCTTGCCTTGGCCCCAACCCCTGCTCACGCCCGGCCAGCCCGCTTTTCCCGCCCCCGCCCCTCAGCTCCAGCCAGAGGACTCTTGTCAGAGTCCCCCAGACCTGCCTGGGCTGCTAGCGTTCTCCGTTTGGCTCAGGCCACCCGTGACCGTGGCCGGCTCACCCCGCTGTGCTTCGTGACGCATCCCCGAGCCTAGCTGCCCCATCTGACTCACCCGAGGGGTTCAGCTCTCCCAGGTCCCTGTAAGGGGCCCTGCCTGACCCTGGCCGCCTGGGCCCTGTCGTTCAGCTTCTCCACGTGTGAGTGAAGCTCGCCTTGCTTGGACGGGGCTTATAGCAGAGTCCCAGGCCTTCCTGTCCCCCACCCCAGCCTGGCAGCCTGGCAGCCTGGCAGCCTGGCAGCAAGCTCTCCACAGAGCCTCTTAGGTGCACACGGCTGAGCTGGGAAGTGAGCGGGTGCGTGCTGGGGGCAGGAATGGTCCTCAGCAGGTCCACAGAGCCTTGGGCACTGCTGTCCTCCCCCAGGAATCTGTCTCTCAGCTGGAAATTGCTCCATGCTGGGTGCCACCTGCCCAGGGCATTGCCCTGTCTGCTGCTCTGTTTGGTGGGGTTGCTATAGCCCCCAGCTCTGCTGGGAGCAATGCAAAGTGGGGAGGTGGGGCCGGGGGTTCCCCGCATCACCCACTCCTTAGAGAACTTGAGTCTTGAAAAGCGGGTTCCCAGCTTTGACGTCATTAGGACTCTGCCCGCCCTTTCCCTTGGACGTCTCTGAAGTGGCCAGGATTTGTCATTCTGTGACAGCATTAACTGCCAAGGGTGTGTCCCACACAACCAGTCAGGAAGCTGTCACCTGGCCAGGCTCCTTCACGGAAAGTCCTTTTACATTGGATCATGTGAGTTCTTCCTGGAGCTTTCGGTGAGCAGTCTCCCCATGAGCTGTAGGAGCAGGCTGACCTGCGTGCCAGTCTCATTCCCACCATGCTCTGGCTGTGTGTCCTTGGACAACTGACGGAACCTCTCTGAGCCTAGGTTGGCAGTGATGCAGCTGCCTCCCNAGTGATGCAGCTGCCTCCCCAGGTCTGTTGTGACGGTGATGTCAAGTGCCGTAGGCGAAGGCATTCGCTCAGGGCTGTGTCTGCAGGAGCCTCTGAGCCACTCTGTCCTTCCTGCTGAAACTCTCAGAGGCAAAACAAAAATGATTTATGTTGCTTTGAGTGAGGAGTAGACGCCATCTTTAGGGTTGTCTGAGTCTTGCTCCCCAAGGTCCCCGGCTGGCAGCATTGATGTCACCGGGGAGCTGTTAGAAGGGCAGACTCCTAGCCCCCAGCCCAGCCCCACCGAGTCAGGATCTTTGTTATAACAAGATCCCCAGAGGGTGTGACAACTAAAGCGCTGGTCTAGAGGGCTCTGGAGTCAGGAAGGTGGGTTCCACTTACGTCATGGACTGTGACAGGGAGTCAGTGGAGTGACAAAGCTGAAGGACCTCCTGAGAAAGCACAGTGTGGTTTGTTCTCGCTGGGTTTGCCCTGTACTTATTGCAAAATTGTCCACCCAAGTTTCCCAAATTCTAGAGAGAGCACCTCTGCTGCAGGGCCCAGGAAAAGGAATATTTTTAATTAATGCATTTGATGTATTTGAGCATGAACTGCTCGTACAATACTGTGCTAGCCACTGNGTGCTCGCCACTGGTGGAGGAGGAGACGACAGGCACAATTTGGGGTCTCCAGCAGCTCAGCATGTCTTTGAGTAGCGCCAACACCAAAGACAATACAGGAGCAAGCACTGGAATGACAGAGGCAGGCCGGGAGCCTCAGGACAAGCGCTCAGAGGGCAGAAGCACAAGAGCACAGGGTCTGGACATGGGGGGATCCGGCTGGAAATGGAGGAAGAGCTGAGGAAACCGTAGGAGCAGGACACACGGACAGGGACAGTGCAGTGGCTGGCCAAGGAGAGGCAGGTGTGTGAGGTTGAGGGTGGCTTGACCCCAGGAACCTGTGGGGACAGTGCAGTGGCTGGCCAAGGAGAGGCAGGTGTGTGAGGTTGAGGGTGGCTTGACCCTGGGAACCCATGACAGCTACATGTCCAAAGCTGCTGTGCACAGCTCCATCCTCTCCACAGAGGGGGTCCCCTCCTTCAAGCCCAGCCCTGGACCCTGCAACCTTCAGGCACCCCTGACATAACCTCCCTCTGGGAGTGTGCAGAGAATTTCTCTGACATACTCCTGGAGCTGACCAGGAGCCATACTGTGTTATATACATTTTTAAGTAGTTGCTCAAGAGATTAAAACGTATATCCTAATTTATCCAATCCAGCTGGATAATAGATGACTGTGTAATGTATGAACCTAAAACATTATTTAAATTCACACTCACTCTCATCCTTTGTGCTCTTGTTTCTGTGTGTTTCCTTTATATGTTGTAAACCCACAATGCATTGTTATTCTTGCTTTGTACAGTGGAGTTTTAAAATGAACATAAGTGTACTTGCCTACATAATTACCATTCCCAGTGCTCTTCGTTACTTTCTAGCCTCAGTTTCCATTTGCTTTCAGTTTTTCTCCAGCCTGAAAATCTCTTTTAGTATTTCTTGAAGTGCAGGTATGCGGTTGAGAAATTATCTCAGCTTTTATCTGAAAGTGTCTTTATTTTATCTTCATTTTGAGGGAAATTTTGCTGGACATAGAATTCTGATGCGATGTGTTTTTCTTTCTGCACTTTAAAAATGTTATTCCCTTGTCTCCTGGCATCCATTGTTTTCGATGACGAGTCAGATGTCACTCTTCTCTTGTTCCCCTTTATGAAATGTGGTTGCTTTTTTTTTTTTTTTTTTAATCTTCACCCTAGGATATTTTTTCCATTGCTTTTCAGAGGGGGGAGAGGGGAGGAGGAGAGAGAGACACACACATTGATGTGAGAGAGACTCATGGATTAATTGCCTCCCACATGTGCCCTGACCAGGGCCGGGGATCAAGCCAGCAACCAAGATATGTGCCCTTGACCAGAATTGAACTTGGGCCCCTTCAGTCCGTGGGCCAGTGCTCTAAACACTGAACCAAACTGGTGAGGACTGAGTCCTCTTATAATGTGTTTTTCTATCTGTCCTTGGTATGATTTTCTATCTGTCCTTGGTGTGATTTTCTTCATTTTTATCTAGCATGAGGTTTGTTGTGCTTCCTAGTATGTTGTTCATTTTTGTTTTTCTAAAAATTTGGAAATGTTTTTGTCAATATTACTTCAAATATTTTTTCAACCCTGTCTTCTCTCCCCTCTCTTTGGGCACCAATTATAGTTGTTAGATCACTTGATCCAGCTCAAAGGATCTGTGTTTAATTTTTAAAATCTTTTCCTTTTCTCTGTGTGATTTGAAGTTCACTGATCCTTTTTATTTTGGATCTGTTAATTTCATCCATTGATTTTTTTTTTTTTTTAACTTTCGAATGTTGTGCTTTTATTGTCATGTGGTTTCCATTTGGCTTTTTTTTACTGTTTCCAAATCTTTCCTGAGATTTTCTTTGTCGTCACCCAGTATATCTTTTATTTTAGACTCTGACATATTTATGAGCTACTTTAAAATATTTGGTACTAATTCCAATGTCTAGGTCATTTGTAGGTATGTTTCTAATGTTTACTTTTCTTTTCACAGTGAGTTACAGAGTCCTCCTTCTTTGCACATGTCTAGTAATTTTAAAATTATATGCTAGGCATTGTTATGCTACATTATAGACACTCTGGATTCTGTTTGATACTGTTGAGTTTTGTTCTAGCAGTCTGTCCAATTTGAACTTTTGGGGTGTGATTTTTCATTTTTTTATGGTTCATCTCTTTCTGATTTGCCCTTTGCCTTAGGGAAAATATTTAGCCCAAGCACATGGTCTTTACTCTTAGGTTGTGACCCCACTGGTATTTCAATGGAAAGAATGAAATGTTTACCAAGATCTCTAACTTGGCAAGACTCAGACTCCAAATTGATTCTCCTTCAGTGGTCAGCAGATGAAATATCTGCTTAGCTCATTCAGCCTCCAGCTGTTCTTTCCCTCCTGGACTTCTTAGAGTCTTGCCCAAACATGTTTGGGTCACGGGGTCAACCAAGTGTTTGAGGGGAGTGTATATGTCCTCTTCTGTAGCTCTCTCCTTTCTGGGATTTCTCTCAGATTCAAGCTGTTCTGGCAGTCCTAAACTCCACCCCATGCCTCCCCAGGAGAACAAGATTTCTCTTTCCCGCTTGAGTTCTAGTCTCTCAGGACCAAGAGAAATGGGGAGAACCCTCAGAGCAAAAGTCCTAGTATCTTTGATCATACCCAGTATGACTCCCTCCTTTCAAGAACCAAATCCCCTGCCTACCTCTGCCTTCTTCTGGTTGCTTTCCAATGATCTTAAAGTTATGTTTTTTAAAAAGTTTTAAAAAATCAGTATTTTGTCTGGAGTTTGTAATTTTCATCTTTAGAAGAGTTAGTGTGATAGAAGCTACTCTGTCATCATTAGAACTAAAACTTGTGGTTTATATTTCTCTACCAAATAGATGATGTATTAGTTATCTATTGCTACAAGACTGTTATTCCAAAATAGAGGTGCTTAAAACGATAAACATTTGTTTTCTAGCACAGACAGTGG